AGCTCGGTATCGAACTCTTCGTTATGGATGATGGTTGGTTTGGCACCAACTACCCGCGTAACAACGACTCACTCGGTCTTGGTGACTGGACACCCAACCCGGCCAAGTTCCCCAACGGTCTCGGTCCATATGTTGGCCAAGTAACTGACTACAAGGTACTGAACGAGTCAAAGCCCATGCAGTTTGGTATCTGGGTTGAACCAGAAATGGTCAACCCCAACTCGACACTGTACCACGAGCATCCTGACTGGGTCTTGTCTGCTGGAAAGCACCAAAGAAGTCTAACGCGCAACCAACTAGTTCTGAATGTCGGACTGCCAGAAGTACAAGACTTCATCATCAACGCCGTTTCCAACATCCTCGACTCAGGAAACATTACCTACGTCAAGTGGGATAACAACCGCGGAATTCACGAGATGTCGCACCCATCCGACGACTACAAATACATTCTCGGCCTCTACCGCGTCATCGACAACCTCACCACCAGCTACCCCGATGTCCTCTTCGAAGGCTGCGCCTCAGGCGGCGGCCGCTTCGACCCAGGTCTCCTCCACTACTGGCCTCAATCCTGGACCTCAGACAACACAGACAGTTCTGACCGTCTCACTATCCAAATGGGCACATCCCTCGTGTACCCGCCCTCGGCAATGGGCTGCCACATCTCCGCCGTCCCCAACCACCTCACCAACCGCAACATCAGCTTCGAATACCGCGGTCACGTAGCCATGATGTGCGGCTCCTTCGGCCTTGAACTCAACCCTTCGGAGCTCTCCGCCGAAGAAGCCTCCGCCGTCCCCGCCATCATGGCCGCCGCAAAAGAGGTAAACCCCATCGTCATTTCCGGTGACTTCTACCGCCTCGCACACCCCGCACAGTCGAATTGGCCCGCAGTACAGTTTGTGAGCCCGGATGGCGCGAAGAGCATCGTCTTTGCGTTCCAACAGACTATGAAGATTAAACCCGCTGCTCCCCCCGTTAGGCTGCAGGGTCTGGATCCCAAGGCGAGGTATAAGAATGATTTGGATAATGGGACGTATAGTGGGGCGACGTATATGAATGGGGGTATTAATGTGAGGTGGGACCCGATGGATTATCAGAGTAAGTTGATTTGGTTGGAGAGGGTGTGATATATGGGGAGTGGTGGAGGAACGGATGTATTTACGTGTTAATGAATGTGGATATAATGGATCGTATGGCTGCGTGTTGTTTTGCTATGTGTGGAGTAAGCGTATGCTTTATCGTTTAAACAACGGTGCGCTAGTGGGACTGGTGGTGAGACTAAATGCATAGTTGCTGCTTATATAGGAGTGATAAAGTTTGACATGGTACGCACTAGAAGACTACAACTATGCAGATCAACTATGCAGATCAAACAAGGATAAGACAGAAGCACAGATATATCACATCAAGCATGAGAAGCAAAAAGAAAAGTTGAGCCAGGCACTCTATGCCATTCAGATATATATATATATAAAACGAAGATATACAAGAAGAATTAAGGGGTAGTTGGCATCGGCCTCTGACCGAACACCTTAGTCGCTTTTTCTCTCTCCCAAGAAAAGTTGCCTTGGCCGCTTAGCAAGAAGCGCCAGAAGGAACATTAAGGCAGCTGGAGCTCTTCTTTCCACCGGTAATGCTGACACCGGACCAGTTCCAGCCGGAGCAGCTTCCCTTTCCGCAAAGGACGTAGATCTCGGTACCGGATCCAGTAACGCTACCGGCAACGTTCTTGAGCGTAACACCGGTGATGGGGACGCCAGTGGTGGGCTTGCCAGTTGGGCCGCCGTTGAGGTAGTCCTGCTCGATGACGATGCCGTACTTGGCGATGTTCTTGAGGGTGATGTTTTCGTAGGTGATGTCGGAGACGGAGCCGGTGGCGCCGGAGATGGTCTTGATGCGGACGCCGTTGTCCGAGTTGGCGATGGTGGTGCCGCTGACGACGACGCCCTTGACGGTGTTGTCCTTGCGGCCGCCAACGGAGCCGATGGAGACGCCGTGGCCGCCGGAGCACTGGCAGTTTGTGACGTGGATGTCGCTGCCGGAGTTGATGGCGACGCAGTCGTCTTGGTTCTTGATGTTGGCGTTGGAGATGGTGATGCCGCTGGAGCTGCCAATGTCGAAGGCGTCGGTGTTGTGGCCGCCGGCTGAGTCGCCTGCAGAGTTGTCGATGGTGATGCGGTCAAGAGTCAAGCCGGTGGCACCGTTGATGGAGAAGGCCTGGACGGGAGTGTTCTTGATGTTGAGTCCGCTGATTGAGGATGTAGTCAGGGAGTGAGCGTAGAAGAACTGGATTGGTTAGTCAGACTACAGTTCAGATTAACTTTCAGTGAACTCATCGCTTACCTTAGGCTTGGTCTTGCCGCCGTTGGATCCCTTTCCGTCCCACCACTTCTGACCAGCGGCATCAATAGTGTGGCCGGAGGCACCCACCACTTTGATGTTAGTTCCGGAGACGGAGATGAGAGGACCTTCCCACTCCTTGTATCCAAAGGTCGTTGTGCCCTGGAAGGTGACGGTGGTACCAGACTTCAAGCCCGTGAGGTCCAGGGTGGTACCAGCAGGAACTGTCATGCCGCTGATGACAATGTTGCTGCAAGAGGCCTTGTTCTTGATAGCAGTCGCAGCATCGGTGAAAGTGCAGCCATCGCGGGCATCAAGGCCTGATGGGGCGGCAGCAACGAGCGCACCAGCGCTCAGAAGCATCGAAGTAAGAGCATATGCGACCATTTTGCTAGATGTGGGAAAAAGCAGAACTCAGAACTGAATATGTAGCTATAGAATCAAAAGAATAAGGGAAGGAATGTGTTAATTGATACTGGAAATAAGGAGGCAACGCTACAGTACTTATACAAGGGCCCCAAACATGAGGGAGCAGTGGAGACTGGCTTCCCCACAGGTCGTGTTAAGCTAACTCTAGCTCTAGAATCTCGGAGGCTTGTCGCTCTAGGCAATGCTTGACACTGCGCTAGGCCACGTTTTGGATGGACATGAGTAGTAAAGAACCGGAATGACAAGCATTGGAGGATCCACCTGATCGATTTCTCCGCGTTGCGGAACGCTCGTAGATTGTATCTTCGTATTCTGGAAGATTTGGGTCTTTGGACGTATCTTAGTATTTATCCTTTGCACTGTGTCAGCCATCAGCGCTGCGAGCCGTTCGGCGGAGCTTACAATATCTCATCTCAGATTTGCAAAACAAACCGGCAATGGGTGTGCCGACCCATGCTGAAACGAAATTACAGCGGCATGGTGAAACATGTTTTGGTCAAAAACGGGATACAGAAGCGTGGCGCTGCTGTGGCGTAGCGCCCTAGTTGGCACGTGGATGCCGAACACGGGTTGCGTGTTTACACTGCCGAGTACGACCGATTGATGGAACAACTAGCTTAATCTATATGAAGGGGGGAGGGAGTGTGAGAGGGGCCGCTGAGGGTCTCGGGCCCTGAGAAGCTTAAGCCGATGTCATCACACATCCCGACAAAGCGGCTTACAGGAGTTACCGAAACTCTGGTAAGGATCATTGCGTTACAACTTCGATGGCATTGCCTATTTCTATGGTCAAGAATATATCGCTCACTCTTGTAGTGCCTAATTCTCGCATTTGTTAATATGTGTTTAAATTGAAACCCATTAGCGCCATCCAAAGCGGCGTGCCACGCGGCCCGACTGTCGGTTGGTGCGTTCTTCGGCATATTAGACATCACAGCATCAAATGCTCCCACTTTGACAAATTTGATCTTCGACATGTACAGTCGGTGCTGAACTACATACTGTGACACTGTTCAAAAAAATGGGTCGACATTTCGGACTAAAAAGAGTGTATTGTAGTTCAAAACTATCGGCGAATAAGCAGCACGCGACCCAGTTCCGTACTAGCAGTAGCTCCGCTAGTAATACACCCACCTTCGCTTTCATTCGCGCAATTACTCCCGCATCGGAAAATAACCACAGCATGAATGGTCCATCTTTAGATGCATCCAGGTAACTCAGGGGCCAATAGGCACACCAGAATAGATGAAGACAACGGACTCCGTATATCCTCAAATCAGTCTCGTAGAAGCGGAGTAGCCATGGGGGATCATGTTCCTTAGACCTGTCGATCACCCTTCCAAAAGCAGGGGCTGGTGCAGACATCGAGTAAAGACAAGACGATTCGTGGACAAATCCGACACTAATAAGCTTGAGGTAAATCGCATTTGGAGCTCTAACAAGACTCTATGTTTTGCAAGTTGACAACAGGTCGTCGTACGTGTACGGATCACACATAAGAGCTGATTTGTAATGCCTGATGCGCTTAGAGATCAGTTCTCTGGGGAAAGCCACGGGTCAGATGGCGCACATTTTCCATAGTCTCCTCGATTGACGATTGGGGGAACAATATCGTACTGGAAGTAGCTAGCAATTCCAAACATACTTTGTGAACTATCTGCTTTCGGAACCCAGCAAGTGAAGGGTATTCAGCCATCAAATCAGTGCCGCTCATCACCCCTGAACTATACGGAAGCATATCCTCCAGTTCTCCTGTCATATCCTGTTCGAATTGTTCCCAGTATGAGATTTGGAGACTTCTCAACTTGATCTCTTGCATCGGCATGATTATGTTGGAAAGCTTCTCCAGGATTGCTTTTGGTAGTGCTGTGTCGAACAGTAAGTTATGAAAGTGAATGGCGTAATCCGAGACGGGAAATTGGGCCATCAATTAGTCAAGGATAAGCTTCAACAAGAATCCTACCGAGAAGATGTACGCGAAAGCTCGAGGTCTTCGTTGTTGATGTGGAAATCAAAGCTAATGCTATGACGTACGGTGAATGGATCCTCGCTATCGTAGTACAGGAACGCACAACGTGAGTCATATGACTGACTTGACTTTTTTGTCTGTTTGCTACATAGCGTATCAGATCAATTATCTCAGAAAAGAATGGCAGGCCACACCCCAACCTGCGGGAACCGGATATCAAAAAATTAACTTTGTGGCTAGAGTAAAAGGATTTGGATAAGCGTCAGCGAGACCCTCGCTCGAACCCTGAGAAATCATTGGCTAATACTAATGTGTACAACTCTATTAGGTAAGACAACCAAGATATGATGACCATATGCGAGTCACCAGGATCCTGCTCATGAGCACACAAGCTTACAAGTAGCTGAGGTTTCATCTCATCGGCCAGAAACACCATATGCCTCCCAGAAGACCCTTTTATTCTACCCTTGGGCGTTCCCCATACCACAGTTATCCGGATTTCATTGAGCAGCCTGCCCTCATTACCCTCTCTGTACAATCCACAATTGTCCTTTGAAGTGTTCTCCGGGGCCTCAGGGTGAGGTAATGATGTCGCGTTGTACGATGTCATCCATTTCCGGTGACTACTTATGTTGGCACGAATGATGGATGTCTGCAATAAGCTACCGATGATAGTAATTGTGTTGACTACGCGGTTTTTCTCTGTTGTGGCTAGATACAGTTATTTGGGCTCAGAATTCTGTGCAGTGGTCAAACAAGGAGAAAAAGTTAAGAAAGCTTCTTGGGCACTACAACGTAAAACCCCTTCATGCAAATCAAAGGTTCAAGGAAAATTTGATTTAAATGCAGAAACGGTCTTCAGAATCTGCTCTCCCAATCTTAGAGTTGCTTTTAGTTTTTGGAGGAGAGAGATTTAAACTCTCGATCTTGCGAATTTCTTAGCATTGTTGTAAAAGAATTCTGGTATCCGGAAGAAAACTCACTGCGCCACCCCTCCAAGCTACCGATATATGTAGCGAGAGGAAGCCTGGTGGACGAAAAGACGGTGGTGCAAACATGTTCGTCTCGGAGTGTTGGGCCAATGGATTGATAATGACTGCTTGATCGTCTCAGATGGCTTGCGAAACTGGAAGGAAAGACTTTCTGCAGTGAGCTTGACAAGGAAACAACATTGACCTCGTTCGATTGTAGCTGCCTTCACTTTTTGCAGGCGTGCTCATTATCCTGTAGCCTATGTGGAAATTCCATCTGGCAACAGTATGGTGTCTGCCTGGTGTGCACTGAAATAAAGCGCAACTCTAGAGTCTCAGTGTCAGAGCCTAGCCTCATCTGACCCCTTAAGAGCCATCTTGAACCACCTTAGGCTACTCTACCCCTTTCTGGCTCGTCTTAGTCATACCTGACTTATCACGATAGATATAAGCACTGTAAACACTACCTTAGCTCGGCAGCTGTTCGTCTCTGTTGAATACAGACCGTTAAGCTCATATTCCTATTTTTACACTCTACCCGTGCCTGATTACCTTTTAACGTCTCACACTCAGCACATCGTGGGTAATTTCAAGCTGATATGTTGTGAGCCATAAACACATGCAACCACGCCATGTCCAGGAAGAGCATTGCCTCTTTCTGTTACTTCCTTAGATCATGTTTGTAAACGATAAATTGAGTCTGGGTGAATGTATACCTTGTTCTTGACTGGCCGTTCGCGAAGCCGAAACTTGATTCTTCTTGACTGATACATATCTTAGGCAACCTTTCTTCAGAACTGTTCTTGATAGGGTGCTAGTTGAATCACATGACTCACTGCATGTAACCGTCCAAATGTTAATTCGACCAGTCACGTGGCCATGCCTTGTGCCCCCTTCATAGCTATCCGGGACATCACGTGATTTCAATGCTAAGTTCCAATCAAATCCGCTTAGACCTACTTCTTACTCCTTGCTCATCGTTTGGCTACTGCGATTTCGGTCCCATCTTATCGGTTCGAACGAATCAAGTGAACTCAATCCCAAAGCATGGAAAACTAACGGCATTATGGTTCCCAGTCTGCTTCAGGTTCATCGCCAACTGATCATCGCAGTCTTAACTGCCGGGCGGGTAGCTCGTCCACTCGATTGACATTCTCAACTACCGAAGCCTCTCGGCCAATATTCTCGACGGAGCAAAAAGGCAAAAAAAATGTTTTGGAAGCAAGATGGTCAATGTAGCCAACGAATTGCTGCTGTTGTCAAGATGATGTCGCGTATGTCGCAGCTGTCGCACGTCGGCCAAACTGAGTGGTTGACTGTTTCCCCCTTTGAACTCTATTTACAGGAAGTTTATAGTTCTGACAGCTTGCGTTCGCTGTGCAATATATGCCCCTGTCTGAGCAGCGGCACATTCGGAAGAAACGGAACCTTGCTGAATAGCCCGGGGATGCGCCCCCGAAGCGTCGGGCCTCACCAAGACCCTTTGCATTCCAATCCTAGTATCAAATCGTTCTCTCGATCATGGTCTGTGAGGAAGGGAGTAACCGCGACAAGGTATGTATACATAGAGGTAGCATTGTAAAGTGGGTTGTTTCTAGAGTCTGGTAGTCTTCGTAGACTCTTAGTGGAGAACGAAGAAACACCTGAACCAACTGTTTCAAGCATTTCCTTGCTGTGCTTGAGCGCTATTCAAGGGGCGTGAAACGCAGAGTCCTGTGGACCTGTCATGGATGGACGCGCCAGTGATTCGACCGCTGTCAGGACCACCCGTCTTTGGTGAGACGGCTGCTGACAGGAGGCCAAGCGCGTGCCTCACGCCAATGGCCCTTGGACTTGGCCAACTACTACTCGAATTTCCTTGTCGCGTTCACTGCATTGAGGATGAGCCTGTACGATAGCTATTTTTGTAGCTTGAATAGGACAAAGCCATGATCTAGGCGGCGTCTCACGATACCCATTCTCCAAGGTACTAGCGCCATAAGCTGCATTGCCTAGCTTGAATAGTAAACTGCACATTCGGAGTTGCCCACGTTGCGAAACAGGCGACACGGGTGGTTCGCAGTCGTTGCCAGCCACAATCAGCCCTACAAGGCCAACAGAAACATTGTCAACCAACGGTTGCGGATCCGGAACCGCTCGGAGCACAACTGATCGACACTTTGGGGAGCAGCGTGTGGCGATAGTACTTAAATGGGCAACCCAACACAACCATGCATTTGAGGGAGTCTAGGATGTTAAGTTGGGCAGAAGTATACACCAGGAAAAAAGGGAACAGGCAGTGTCAGCGCAAAGATTGCACCAGCACATTCCAGCAACACCAACAGCTGGTGATGACATTCGAACAGGACGCGTACTGATCCTAAAGAAAAGGTCACTACCAAACTCGGGTTAACATTTCGCATACATGGAAATCTTGCGACAGTGGCGCGAGTGAGGTATTCGACCAGTCCGTGTTAGATTGATTGCGCCTCTACAACGGTTGATCGTCGCAAGAGACGAGGGAAATGGAAGCCTTTGGATTAGGAGAAATGCATAACCGCGTGAGCACTGCTGCTTAAGATGATTTGAGCAAGGTCCAGCAAGGATGATGCTAAGCAAAAGCTAACAAACAGCCTTGGGATTCGACCCGCGCCTCGGAGCGTTGACATCGACAAGACGTTCGGGATACCTGATCCCGCCTGGCTACGTGAGCACACGTATTTTTGAACATAGTAGGTCCGACTTTTGCTATGCACAACGGACGTTGTTCTAGGGGGGCGCACCCAATGGAAATCGGAGGAGGAGCGATGGTGAAATCGCGGCTCCTGGTACCTGAAACGGCGAGGCTTCAAAGCGCCGAAAATCTACACACTAAGGAAATAAACTCTGCGCTCAGACACTGCAGACATTCCCGGTCCCCCCCAGGTTTTCGGGCCTTTATTCTTTTCTCCAAGGGGGGATGGGAACGGACACAGGAAGATAGCATTCGTAATGCTTGGAACAGCCCTTGGGGGCTTGGACACCGACGAAACGCCATGAGATTAGATGCAAGGAATTGTTTAAATGGAATCGATGTCTACACGGAACATGGCTTTTCTCACTCACACGCATCGCACTGCGAGTTAACACTCTCTTTAAGTTAATTAATCACATTCATTTACTTTGGCTACCAGCCTGTCCTGTCTTTAAAGATGCGTTTCACCGACGCCGCCACTCTCTTCTCCCTCTCTTCGCTCGCCCAGGCAGCACCGGGTCTCTGGGGCCACCAGCACGCCCACTACTCTTCCAGCAGCTATGGTAGTGGTAGCACCCAGGGATACCAAACCGGTACCTTCTTCACCAACTGGGGCATCTACGCTCGCAATTACAAGGTCACCGACCTTCCCGCCAAGCAACTGACCAAGGTCAACTATGCTTTTGCCAACGTGAACAACGTCACCGGTGAAGTCGTGCTCAGTGACGAGTGGGCGGACATCCAGATCCCCTACCCCGGTGATGTTGCCGGAAACGCCACTCTGCTTGGTAACTTCGGTGCCCTATTCAAGCTCAAGCAGCAAAACCGCCATCTGAGGGTCACTCTCTCCGTTGGTGGCTGGAGCTATAGGGCCAACTTTAAGCCTGCCTTCTCTACCGAGGCCGGCCGCCAAAAATTCTGTGACAGCTCCCTCGAGCTCGTCAAGGACCTTGGTCTCGACGGTATCGACATCGACTACGAGTACCCCGAAGACTTGGATGCCAGCGCCAGGTTCGCTGATGTCGTCAAGCGCTGCCGCAGTGTAAGTTTGATATATGTCCTCTAACCTATGATGAACAAACATTCTAACATTCCAACCTCAGGTCTTCGACACCTACTCCGCCGCCCACGCCAACAACTACCACTTCATCATCAGCATCTCCTCACCCGCCGGCGCCCAAAACTACGAAATCTTCCCTATTGCGGAAATGGACCCTTATGTCGACAACTGGAACCTCATGGCTTTCGACTACCAAGGCCCCGGCTTCTCCAACTTCACCGGCCACAGCACCAACCTCTGGCCCAGCAAGAAGAACCCGCGCTCCACCGACGGCTGGGACGCCAAGAACAAGAAGTTCACCCCGTTCAACACCGACCGCGCAATCCAGTACTACAAGAGCAAGGTCTCGAGCTCCAGCAAGATCCAGCTCGGCATGCCACTGTACGGCCAGGCCTTCGCAAACGTCATGGATCCCAACCCCTTTGGCGACGGCATGGGCGTCAAGTTCAACGGTAGCATGCCGGGAAGCTGGCAGGCGGGCAACTATGACTACAAGGTTCTCCCGCTGAACAACTCCGGTACCGCATATGTTTCGCAGGAGGTCGGTGCGTCATGGACGTACAACCGCAAGACTCGTGATCTTGTCAGCTTCGATACTCCTCAGGTTGCTCAGTGGAAGACGCAGTACATCAAGGCGCAGCAGCTTGGTGGTGCTTGGTGGTGGGAGGCGTCTGGCGACCGTCCCGTTACGGACCCCAAGTCGCTTGTTCGCACTGTTGTTCAGGCGCTTGGTGGTGAGAGTGCGTTCAAGCTTACTGAGAACTTGCTGTACTTCCCTCAGAGCAAGTATGTCAATGTCCGCAATGTCAACGTTACTCAGGCTTAAGTGTGTATGCGCGGGGCTTGGTAGCTAAGTGTGGTGATGCGAAGGGAGTAGAGTAGAGATG